AGAAAATCTCCCCCTGTGGCTGGCACCAGACTTCAGCCTTTTCTTTCTTCTAGCATGAGATGCCTGGGGAATTTCCGATTTCTTGGGGCTCGTTGTTTCAAAAATCTGATAGCTGAAAGAAGGAGCACAAGCGTCTCGGAATATATTCGTTCCTGCCAGCATGATTACATAGGAAGTTAGGATATCTTCATTATAACAAAGTTAATAGTCTTATGAGAGTCCCACAAAATAACTAGGAGAGAACTGAAGGCCTACAAGGTCATATACATTCAAGCCTCAAAACGGGTTCATTGCTATTTTAAACATTCTCATTTGAAAGTATTTCTTTCATATTTTTATTTATGTTGTAGAGGTGTGTGTGTGTGTGTGTGTGTGTGTGTGTGTTTGTGTGTGTGTGTGTGTGTGTGAATGTATGCCATGAGTGTGCAGGGGTAGGGTTGCCCAAGGAGGCCAGAAAAGGGTGTTGGATGCCCTGGAGCTGGACTTACAGGCAGTTGTGAGCCTCCTGACATGGGTACAAGGAACTGAACTTGGGTCCTCCAGAAGAGCAGTAAGTGCTCTTAAATGCTACGCCATCTCTCCAGTTCCTGATATTTCTTTGGAAAATAAATACTGTCTTCTTGTTGACAACCTTCACAGCAAATGTTTATTGTTCTGGAATCCATGAATCTCAGCTAGCAAGATGCTTCAACCACACTCCAGAACGGAGGGTTCCTTTTCTTTTATGTGTCCTCATACTTTTCTATTCTTCTATCCTGCCTTGCCTATGCAGAGGAGAAAGGGACCCAAATCAAAGAATCACCAGCAAGACATCTCCCTGGCTCTGGAAGAGTGAAGCTGACTGGGGGGCTCATCTTGATTTTGCTTATTTATTCCTAGAGCAGAAGTGAGGGAGTTGTCACATGGGCCAGGAGGGCACCTAGCTACCCTTGGAGTCACTTCTGCTCAGTCCGTTGATAGAGAAAATTTGGGCTGGTACCAACAACACTAAGATGGTTGTGGGATGCTAAGTGCCTCTGACATACAAAACAGCAGGGAAGTATACTGGTTAGCTTTCTCACCTTGACACAGACTAGAGACACCTGGGAAGAGGGAACCTCAACTGAGAAATATCCCCCATCGGGTCGGCCTGTAGGCATATCTGTGAGGCATTTTCTTAATGTTAATTAATGTAGGAGGACCCAGCCCACTGTGAGTAGTACCATTCCTGGGCAGGTGAACTAGGGCTCTATAAGGGTAATCAAGAAAGTCAGGGGAAGCAAGTCAGTAAGCAGTACTCGTCTGTGGTTTCTGCATTAGCTTCTGCCTCCAGGTTCCTGCCTTAAGCTCCTGTCCTGACATCTGTAAAAATGCACACTGTAAGTTGTAAAATGAAACAAACCCTTTCCTCCTCAAGTTGATTTTGGTAATGTTTTATCAGAACAACAGAAACCAAAATAGGACAGAACTGAAGCTAGTTCAAATCTCTCTTGAAAACAGTCAGGAAGAGAGAATTTCAGACCATCTGTGGTAGGAAGTCAGGAAATGTAGGAGGCTCCCACTTGGTGATTGCCGCCTTTAAAAGTTTCTCTAGTACCTAATAACTTTACTTCTAGAAGCTCAATTTAGTGTCTGAAGACTCCCATTGGTTTTCCCACAAAATCCTTCACAGTTAGGCTCTTTCTCCAATTATTAGACAACGGTGGAAGGTGGGAGAAGGATAACAGAGAGGAGGACAGAGAAATGACACAATCGTGGGTAAGTTCAGGGTAGGCTGGGAGGACACCGGGGAAGGCGAGGTTTAAAAACCATCAAAAGAAAAGCAGATCAGTTCCAAACAGTGGAAGGTGATTCAACAACAACAGAAAAGGAGCTACGAAGTCAGAAAAAGATATGAAGAAATCTCAGTTGCATGATGCTAGGTGAAGAAGCCACTCTGAAAGGATTCTTACTGTAGTGTTCCAAATCTGCTCTGAAAAAGGTAAAATGGTGGAGGCAGAACAATGTTGCTCAAGGGCGGCGGGGGGCGGGGGTGGCAGGGGAGGCATTGTGCAGATAGGAGGAAGTATTCTGTGAAGCTGTCATGTGACATGTAACACAAATGGTCCTAACTGACCATTCATTTGACTTATGATTTGACTTTATGATGGTACAAGAGTGATTTGCATTGAGTAAAAATGGAGTGGTCTACTTTCACACCACTCCCATTGAAATGGAATGGCTTGATAGTGGCTTGAAGGAGCCAGTAACATTAATTCCATCTTGCTTCAGCTCCTTTCTCCTGAGCTGCCTTGAGGTTCTTTTCCTCTGCCTCTCATGTGCATCTCCTCCTAAACTTCTACCCTGCAGTTACCTTGGCTCCCAGTAATAACAGGCCTGATAGATGAATGCCTTAAGACAAAGAACCAACACTTCCCCTAAGCCAGTCCTTGGAACTAATAAATTCCTGCACAGAGGAGCCTGAGAGGATGGCCCAGCTAGACCATGGCCAATTGGGACTACTGCTATGGATTCCCAAGTCATTGCTTTTTTTCCTTTCTTCTCAGAGACTGCAGTAAGCACTTGAGAAATAGGTTTTAGTCATTACTCTGTTCTTCCTAGTGTGGCCACACTGAGAATATCTTCACCTAACTTTAGCACTGCTAGACCTTCTGGCTGGTTTTCTGAGAAGTGTACTTAGCCTAGTCTATTGGGATTCTTTGGAACTAGGACTTTTGCCTTAATGCTGGTATCAGAAACAGTGCTTTGAATTTTGACATGTGTCCAGTCCTCTCTTGTGATGCTTGGCAGCAGCAGTGAGCTACATCCCCCGGTTAGCCACCCAGTCATGAGAGGAAACAATAGTGTACAATGTTGCTAGAGGTTTAGGAATATAGGTTTTCAATAAATTATATGAGAAATTATAATGTAGGCTGTGTATGAGCTATATTTCCAACAACAGACCAATGTCTATAGTGTGCTGAGCATGTTTAAAGTAGGTGAGGCTAAACTGTGTTCAGTCAGGAAGGTGAATTACAGATAGTTTAAACCTGGTATATATGGAGCTTAATCGGGACATAATCCCATTGTAAATGAGGGACCATCTGTAGGGCTGTCAAAAGTCATAGGATGCACAACACAGACTGACCCTAATGTAAACTATGGCTTAAGTCAGTAACAACATACCAGTACTGACTCGGCAATTATAATGAATTGCACTGTTGTACAACATGTCAATAAGGAAAGTGAGGGGTGATATGAAGCTGTCCTTTATGTCCAGCTCTTCTACATACTGAAAGAAACTCTTAATCAGCTTAAGGAAGTGGCAGTAAAAAAAAGTCAAAACCGGGCACTAGGGAGGTAGAGGCAGGTGGATCTCTGTGAGTTCGAGGCCAGCCTGGTCTACATAGTGAGTTCCAGGCCAGCTGGGGCTACTGGGAGACCCTGTTTCAAAAAAAAAAAAAAAAAAAAAAAAAAAAAAAAAAAAAAAAAAAGTCAAAACCAGAACCAAAACCAAGAGGGACAGGTTAGTATAAGAAGAGTGGCCTGGGGGCCAGCTCCCTGCAGGCCTGATGGCAGAAGCAGACACCAAAGATGTGGCTGCAGTGTAGTTCCTACTGCAATGGTCCTGTTGTGGAACACTGTCACGTGTTTGGTCACTGCCATCTTGAAATCTGAGCAGCTGTGATTACTCATCCAAGAACCTCACAAGACTGGCCCCACTAACAGGCCCTCAAGGGGAGGGCTCACAAGCTACAGAAGGCCGTGCACTAGGCGCTCATACCCAGCACATGAGACAGTACACAAGACACAGAAAGCCTCTCCCCTCCCAAAGACAAGTGGTTAACAGCTGCTGGGAAGGGAGCTTTGCTTTGGGGTATAGCTGCTTGAGTTGTTCATGCTCCTGTAGTTAACTCCTCACCCATGCCCCGGTAAGTAACCCCAGTTAAACTCATTGGTTCACCAAGCTAGACCTGGGAAGAATCATTCTTTGGTTTGTTGTTGGTGCCCTATCAGGTGAATGCACATTTGTTTACATCTCCCCGTGGAAAGTTAACACAACAGCATCTAAGATACAAGACACTACTGGTGGTAAGAGGCTGATCCTCAGTCCTGGGCCATGTTGTATTTGGTGTGGAAAGAGGAAGAGATCCTCAGTTTCCAAAAAAGACTGGAACAGAGGGCCGAAGAGATGGCTCAGTGGTTAAGAGCACTGGCTGCTCTTGCAGACGACCTGGGGTTTATTCCCAGCACCTATATGGCAACATAACAAACATCTGTAACTCCAGTTCCAGGAGATCCAACGCCCTTTTCTGACCTCTGCAGGCATTGCATAACACAGGCGCACTTACACAGATGCAGGCAACACACTCATACACGTAAAATGAAAATAATAAATAAAATACATTTTTTAAAAAGAGAGTGGAATGACCTAGGTAATATAAGATCAAGCTTACCTCTTCTTTACTCTTATACCTTTACATTAATGTTGAACATGGAATTGATATGAATGTGTTTTTGGATTTAGAGAAACCTGGGTTTGGACTCATTTGTGTACTTACTGGTTAGGTGGCTGTTAGGAGTTGTGACATGGGCATTATAATCCAGGGGGCACTGTGATGGTGGGATGATGTGTTTAAGGGAAAACCTGACATGGCTCAGGCTCAGAGAAGGGGGCCTATGTAAAATCCACATGGTCTTGCTCTTCTTCCAAACCCTCCCTTGCTGACGCTCAGGTTTAGCCTCCTGCATATCCTGAATCTGCAATCACTCCTCCTGCATATCCTGAATCATGGCTATCCGTGGGGAACTGGTTTCAGGACTCTTCCCTCTAAAATACGAAGTCCAAGGATGCTCAAGTTCCTTACACAAAATGGTAGTATTTTCTTATAGCCTATACACTTCCTTACATGCACTTTAAACTAGATGAGATTCAGACACTCAATACAACGTCAACTGTACATAAACCATTGCTACACTGTGCTGTTTAGGAAATGGTGACAAAGAACAAAAAGCCTGTATTTGTTCTCTATAGGCACAATTAAAAATTTTATTTTTCATCTCTGTTTGGCTGGGTCTACCAGAGCAGAACATGCTGATACAAATACTGTGTGTGCCTCAGAGTCAGCAAAGGGAGGCTTGGGGCTGGGAACCCGCTGGAATGAATACTGGAGTGTGTGAGGAAAGGGGAGGAAATGAGTCCTGGTGATAGATACATGCCCTACACTAAGGGCCCAGATACTAAGTCGTGCTCCAAGGAAAAAGCCTGCAAAGGAATCCAGAGGAAGAAGGTGAAGGAGGAGACAACGCAGCTCTTATAGGGATGCCAGGGAAGAGGACAGGGGTGTGAGAGGGACCCATGCAGGTCTCAGGTGGGGTTGGAAGAGGAGCAGGGTAGGAAAAGGCATTTGGGAGTGGATGGCCACAGCACACAGAGAGGGTCTGACTAGAGTGACAAAGCACTCATGGCAGGGACACCCATCCCACATCCTCACTGTAGACAGACACTTTAATCTATTTATTTATTTTTCAACAAAAAACTAAAAATCTTTAAGAAGTGCATTCATTGAGAAGTGCATTTATCACAGTTAAAAGCTTCCTGGAATTTTCAGGCAGAATATCACATCCTGAGATCTCAGAGCTCTGGCACTGCTGGGGCAAGGCTTGGCAGCCTGGGCCATCACCCTGGCTCTGCTTCACCTCTGCTGCTGTTCACATACTGCCACACCACACAGCCTGCAGCACTAAGCTGCCCCGGCCTCTGAACTCAGCTCCCATACCCAAGACATTGCAGTTCTTGTCAACTTCTGTCATGATGTCCAGCATAGCCAGTGTTGACAGGCTCCCCTCAGGAGAGGTTCTAAAGTGTCCACGAAGGAGGTGGTGGGCCAGGGCCCAGGCCCAAGGTTCTCAGAATGATGATTCAAAAGCCTGGGATCATCTGACCCAGTAGTGTCAACTCCTTCCTGCGCCCTCCTGGGTCAGGGGGTGGAAATATCATCGCTCATGCTTAATGTTGGCTTCACTTCGCTCCAAGGTGACCCCATTGCCATTCCTAGGGCCTTCTTTCTTGCTCCAGTCCTTCTCCATGTAAAACTCTGCAAGCACAGGGCAATGCTCAGAAGCTACTCCACCCCAGGACCAGTTATCTGGAATCCAAGGGTTCGTAAGACCTTCTCTTACAACAGCCCAGTGACCTGAAGGGGAAGGGAAGAGGTAGAGACATTAGGCAGGGAATGGCCAGCACTGCTCACCTGCAAGCTGGGATGTCCTGACAGCCTGCCTCAGTGAGCTGGCTTGTGCAAAAGCTTTTGGCCAATTTATTTTCTATATAAATAATGGCAGTTTACTCACATTGGCACTGAAAGTTCCCAGAAGCCACACCTCTTACCCAGTCAGACACAGTATTGAAGCTGACCTCCTCATTTATGCATTGCTACTAATCTGGCCAGCAAAATAAGCACTTGTTAACTTAAATTTTTTTCAGTGCTAGGAATGAGCCTAACAAATACAATAGGAAAACATTCAACTATACCCTGATCCAAAATAAATATTTGACAAAGGGTCAGATGCCTCATGAGGATGTCCACAATGAAAGCCTTGTTTCACAAAGCAAGAATCACTAAAGAGAGGGTAGAATAAATTCTTCCCACAGAAAGGGTGAAAAGAGAAGCTTGCCATGATTATTGAGAAAGCAAAGATATTTTTAAGTAAAGATTTAAAAGTGTATGAAGCAAGAATTATATTGGAAAACAATAATTAACTACAAAAACAATCACAGAATAGTTAAGGCATTGTTGCAGTCCTCAGTGATACACAGTGCCAGTATAAAATCTGTAGGCCTGGGCCACAAGATTCTGCTTGTCCTGGGCCACAGTGACAGAAGACAACATACTACGTGACATGTCTCCTCACTGAAAGCATGTTGGTGAACCTCACAACACAGCACCCAAACATTCGACAAATGTTGACTGAACAGCTGTCTTTAAATAAGTTATCAGCACATCTCTGAATCACAGTCCTGCTGATCTACAGAGGTGACTAACAGACCTATGAAATGCTTCTGTAGATTAGCGGGTGCCTTCTAATTATTTGTCATACTTCCCTCTCTTTCCTGTTCATGTGCTTTTGATTGAATAATAATCATGTCCTAAACCATAATCCTGGGTGTGCTCGAAGATGAGAGATGGTAACATCTGCCCCTTCAGACACCTGCATGTCCCTGGCTCACTACTGAGCAGGAACAGCAAGAGGGAGACTTTCCCTACCTGTGAACACCTTCTTTAAGCTTTTACTGATCCAGATGTTGTCCATAGACTTGGAGCCTTGAGGATTCCTGGTGCTGATGTTGGTGAAGGTTTGTGCTGGTACCACATGGTGGAATTTTTCTCTCCTTAGGATATCATAATCACTGCTATCTGGCCCTTGGCCAAAATCCCCTAAAATAACAACATCTTTTTCTCCTGGAAACAGAAGAAAGAAAATCAAGATGTAAAAAGCAGGAGGGAAGCAAAACCCAACACTGGCCCCAGCCCCCTGAAGGAATCATAAGCCCCTGATTTGAGACACACCCCCAGGTCCAGGTCTCAGACCATGGCATAGTTCTCATAATTCTGGCTTTTCCAAATTTTCTTGTGAAGCCTCACTGAGTTCAAGTTAATTTGGAAATAAGAGCTAGTGTGAGGCAGAAACACCCCATTCAATCTCCCAGGTTCTAATTTTACAGTGGAAAAACGATGAGTCTTGCTCAAATATCTAACAAAAGCTCAGAGGAGTTTATAGAGCACCTATTCAGGTCCTAGCTGTGAGGAGATTCAAGGAACAGTAAAACAGAACCCCTGACCTCTAGGACCTCACAGTCTAATGGAGAGGCAGGAAAGGAAACAGAACAGAGTGCAGGTACAAAGACACAAACAGGTACAGAGACCACGGCACAAGGAGAGGCACAGGGGGAGGCACCCTGGAGGTGATGCACAGGAGGACAATAAGAATGAGAGACAGTGGCAGGGAGTTGTGAAGCAGCCTGGTTACTATGGTTGTAGGGTAAAAGCCGGAGTAGCTGGATGCTTGCAGCATAAAGGGTATCAAGAAGCTAGATGTGGGCCAACAAGATGACTCAGTAGACTAAAGGCACCCACTGCCAAGCCTGAAGACCTGAGTTTGAGCCCCAGAACCCACAAGGTGGAAGGAGAGAATGCAAGTTGTCCTCTGACCTCTACATGTGGCCTGGGGCACACAGATGCATACCTATACATGCACACAATAAATACATAATTAAATACTTTTAAAGTAGCTAGATGTCTAAAAGGAGGTAAGAGAGGCAGGCAGCAGCTACTCCCTGATTAGCAGATATACTCTATCTGCCTGGGGTTGAGTCAGATCAAGGAACCAGAGGAAAGGCTACGGCATCTCGGCATTCACTGAGCAGCTCACAGCATCCAGCACGCATGGGAGTGTACGTAGTTTACAGTTCTCCTGCTGTGGACTGTTTATAAGGCTATGTCCAAAATAAATAATACTAAAGTAAGAATTTCATTCAAATATTTGTGTCCCTGCTTCCTGTCCTTAATATTGAGAACCAGTTAGAATTACGGTTAGTGTTCACATTCTGGATATACTGTGGCCTCGTTTCCAAAGGCTGCTCCCATATCAACTCTCTCCAGAGTGCCTCTGCACCTTCACAATATTCTCACTTGATTAATTTGGTCTACAAAGATGGTGTCTTCTTTCTAGGTAGAAAAATAAGATGCGTTCTCTCTCCTTTTGGATGGGATACCTAAACAAATTATTTGGAATTCTGCATATGAATTTATTAAGTTATTCAACCACTTGTTTACATGAGTATGAATTTCTGTTTTTTATTTTTGATATTGAGTTATAATCCACTGATACGCTATTTACTGTGCTGCTCAGTTTTCCCAGCTAGGAACTCTTCCAGTTCGTCTATCAATGCTTTACCTGTTTGCTTGCTTTTTTGTTTGTTTTATGGGAGTGCTGCCATTCTTTGCAATCTTCCAAATGCCCCAGGATCACAGGTATCTTTTCTTCCCCAGCCCTAGAATTAGCCACTTCTCCCAGAAGCCCTGATTTCTTCCATCAGAAGTTCAAAACCTAGAGCTGGGTGTGCATGTACTCACTGAGTTTCTTCATTCAGGGCACTAATGGTTTATTAATTGACTTACAGTAACTCTTCACATATTAAAAGGATAGTAACCTCTTGTCAGGTACAGAAACTTTTCTAACAAACCTTTGCTAATTATAAAACTATTTATTTACAGCTATTATAAAACAAATATTCAATGATATTTTAATGGTATTGTTCCTCACATTTCTTTATTTTTATTTTATTTGTTTTGCTTTTGAGACAGGGTTCTGCTGTGTTATCCAGGCTGGCCTTGAATTCACAAACCTCAGCCTCAGAGCTGGGATTATAAGCATGCACCACTTTTTTTTAAGACTGGAGATTGAATGGGAAAGCACTCTGCCATGAGCCACATCTACAGTCCTCCCTTTACATTCTGAGAAAGGATTTTCCTAAATTGCTCAGAGTGGTCTTGAACTTTCTCTGTAGCTCAGGCAGGCCTTGAATGTGCATCTGTCCTACCCCAGTCTCCCAAAATAGCTAGAAGGAAGAATAGTCACATAGGTATGAAACTGAAAACGCTACGGAGAAGCATTTCTAGAAACCTAGCGGTTCCTGGCCCCTGTTCTAGGAGAAAACTGCTTGGTGACCGAGACCGAAGCTCAGTTTTGCTAATCCTCCAGCTCAGTAGCCTCGGGCAAGGCTTTGGTCCCTCAAATGGAGAGTACAACCATTTCCTGATGGTTGTTTTCAGGACTGGAGGATCCTGCAGGAGCTACTGTAAGTGCCCGGCACAGGGATAAGCAGCCCCAGACTCCTTCCCTTCAGGTCTCCTGAGCCACATTAATGAGAGTCTGCCAGAGAAACATCAGCAGAGATTTCTCACTTGTAAGTAAGGGCTAGAAAGCAAGGGCAGGGGCAAGTGAAAAGGTTGTCCCTTTGAAGTATTTTAGATGTTTCTCCCACAGCCTCCAGGAAATGGAACTGTGATGAGTATTTTCCAAGTAAAGTACATAGGAATTCTAAAAGAACAATGGCCCCTAGCCAGGCTCTGTGGATTCCCATGAACAGGGCTGACCCCTCTAGAGGGGAGTTCACTGCAGGGAAGCCACAGGCCCCAGGGAATGTTTGTCACACTGTGAGGGGCACTTTAAAGAGAGTGGGTCATTAAGAAAATAGGATATCCCAGACCTTCTGCAAAGTCTTTTTCCTTGGCATAAATATACTGTATTAACAACAGCTGAGGGAAAGGAATCTAAAGTGAAATGGCTCAGAAAGCCAGCAGGGGGCACCTGTGTGCTGCAGATGGCACCCTCCTGCAAGGGGCCATGAGGTACTGAAGGGGACAGTATGGAAGTCTCCTGTAGCTCTACTTTCTGGCCCCATGCCTAGATCACATCAATAGCACACCCAGATCGAGGTGAGCCCCAGCTGTCTTGAGGCATCAATGCCAGATTCCAACAGGAAAACCAAGAGAATATTGAGAATATTACTGCTTACAACTCAGACCTGAGCACTGTGAATGAACAGTCACTGAGCCTTCATTGTGTCTCAGGCACTGTACAGACCACTTCCCAGAGATTGTACCATTTAACTGCCATAATCCATAAGGTAAGTAATGTCCCCTTCTCCTCTCTGCAGATAGGAAGCTCAGACTCTGAAAATTGAATGATTTGCCTGAAGTCATGGAGCTGGCCTTCAAACCCAAGGCTCTTCACAACGAACTAGACAGAGGAGTCCAGGATGTGGGCTGCTGTTCACTGTGACACACGGAGAGTTTGGAACAGTGCCTTCTACATAGGCAGACCCTGAATATGGTGAGGCAGGATGAATGCCTCAAAATTAAGGTCCAGCTTGATTTTGAGAGGAAGCAAAAGCTAGCGCACTTATTGTCAAAGAAAAGCTAAGATTCTGAGAAGGCAGACTGTTCCCATAAGAACGAAAACGGCTTTCACTGGGCAGGACAACTCTCAAAACAGGAGAAGCTGGTGTCAGGGGTCAATCAGCCAGTTCTGTGTAGCTTCGCAAGTGAAAACAAAGGCTCTCTTTTTGAATGGGCGCATCCAGATTTCTCACAACTCGTTCTTCCAGTTAAATCTGTGTTAGTGAAGACACAGAAGCAGCTTTGCCTGTGAGAATCTGTAGGCACAGAAGCCCCAATCTCCTCTTAGCCACCTGCCTGAGTAGGCTCTCCAGTCAGTGTTCCCCTAGTTCCCAGAAGTGAGGGAAGAATTTTTAGGGCTAATTTCCCCAGAGGTTCCCTAGACTTAAAAAGTACCAGTAAGATCCATTGGAATGGGTCTCCGCTGAGGGACCGTCCTACCAGATTCTGTGAGCAATGCATTCTAGTCCCTGCTTGCTCAGCTCACAGAGAAAGGAGACCTTGATCTCAAACCCTGTTGTTAGGTCTGAAAGAAGTCTCCATGAAAGGACAAGCAGGGGGCCACTGAATGGAGCTGCACATTGCAGACAAAGGCAGAAAGGCCCAGAGTTTGCAAATCAGGCTATTTTTGTCACTCTGGGGAAAGAAGACTTTATCTTTCTTTGAGCAGAACCTCTGTGCTAATCGATTTACCCTTGTTACAGGCTGGAGTGTTTCCTGAATCCCTGGATGTGGACTGTCACCAGTTAACAATTAACTGGATATTAGTTACAAGCCTGGACACAGGGAGCATGAGTCATTGTCCCTACCTGGATGTGTCAAGGCTGAGCCATGCTGTGGATCAATCAATAGTCCCTTGGCAACGTGGAATACTAACCTGCCTCAAGTTTTCTCACAAAAACCTGGGCACTCCCTGGAGGCCAGAAGAAAAATGGTTATCTGTTAAGGCTCTCAGAGAAATTATGAACCAGCATCTTTCTTTCCTGCTTCCTTGTAAAGTTTGAGATAGGGAAGAATAGAAATGTGCACAGATGTAATAAGCTGCCAAGTCATCCTTTTAAGAGGCGAGGCACCGTGGGGAACAGTTTCCCACACCACTCCTTGTTGGATGAGGCATTTCCATTTAAACACCTCTTCTACTGTTTTTCATCTTGAAGACTCATCACTTAAATAGAAGCTGTTCAGAATAAGTCCCAACTCAAAACATAAGGCTGTATGTACAGCCATGTTCATAGTGCACTATTCACACCACCCCAAAGGTGGAAGCAACCCAAGAGCAGATGGTGGATAAACAATAATACATGGCACACAAACAACAGGATATTATTCAACCTCAAGAAAAATGGAAAGTCTAACACATGACACAGCACAATCAACCTGGTGGATACTACACAAAGTGAAAAAAGGCAGACACAGCAGGGTGAAAAAGGCAGACTCACTGCATGATTCTCTTTATATGAGATGTGTTGTCAAAATTACAGACACAGAAGGCAGCCTGCACTAGTTGGGGCTAACAGGGAATTTGCGTTCAGTAGGTGCAGAGCTTCAGTCAAGAAAGATGAAGACGTTCTGGAGGTGGATGGTGGTGAGAGATGCACAGCAGTGTGAATGAGTGCACGCCATTGGGCTGTACCCTTATCAGTCATCATGATGCCGAATTTTATGTTATGTCTACTTTACTACAATAAAAAGGCTTTTCAATATAAAGTTATAGTTTGACAGGGACAATTTTTAATTTTATTATTTTTATTTTATGTGTATGAATGAATTGCCTGCCTGTATTTAAGTGCACCCACGTTGTATAATGCCTGCAAGAGATCAGAAGAGGGCACTGGATCCCCTGGAACTGGAGTTATGGATGGTTGTTAGATGCCATGTAGGTGCTGGGAATCAAACCCGGGTCCTCTGCAAGACCAGCCAGTGCTCTTAACCGCTGACCTATCTCTCTAGCCCCTAATAGGAACATTTTTATAGCCAGTTTTTCACCAAGTCTCTCACTGTGGTGGGCCAATTTGACAGTGAAAAGTCATAGGAAGCTAGGGGAGAGATCACGACTCAAGAATTCCAGATCTCCAGTTGCAAGCCTTCACCTAGAGATGGGTATTGTTCTGAGAAACCAAGCCATACTGATATCACCACCCTTGTGCTCTTGTGAACTTTACCCAACTGAAGTGGTTTGGTGGCTTGCCTGAGACCCTACAGCTACAAAGGAGAGGAGATTAAAACTTGCATGCCCCTCATAGGAATGCACTGCTCACCTCACCTTGTCCCCTCCCGTCTCTTTCCAAGACTATGTGCAGATCTGTGGGTGGCACACCAGAGTGATTTCCCAAAGGCAGCTAGACCCAGGATAAGTTGTCACAGGGAAGAGTGTCAGTGATATTTGTTCCTCTAACTCTCCATCTAAGAGGCTGATAAACCACAAAGCTGATACCTTAGGACCCACTAGAGAAGTCCTCAGAGACAAAGATGGAGCCATGAGATGCAGGGAGTGTAACTGTTCCCCGGACAAATTGTTCCCTGGCAAACAGCCAGCCTAAGTGGTCAAAGAGATGTCTTGAAAGCACCACTGCCAGCCCTGCAGAAGTGTAGTCCAGCCACAGAGAAAAGCAGTCTCCTACCTTTCAGAGTTTCCTGTAGAGTCAGTGCAAAGCTCAACAGTCGGTGACTGTCACTGTGGTTCCTGCTTGAGGTCTCTGCCCCTGGGAGGGCCAGGGCTGTCAGTTGAAGGTTAACCAGGGTCAAGTCATTACTTCCCACCTGGGTAATAGGAAATGAAGTGACAGGGAAAAGCTTAGGTACTCATATTTCTTGTATCTATTATAACCAATTCATAAATAGCTTCATGAACACAGTTGGCAATGGTAAACAAATGAAAAGCTAGCTCACTCCTAGGAGGCAACATAGGCACTTCATGTTAGATTTCTCCAAGGCACAGACCTATTTTCCCCTTAAACCTCCACCACTAACACTTCCAGCCTCCCACCTCTCCTCCTTAGGATCTGAAAAACTGTACATGCCTTCAAGTGTCAGGTTTTTAGGTTGGTTCGTTGTTTTTACCTTTTGAGCAACTCTACACAAGAAGGAGCTGCCTCTTGCAGCTGGATATTGCACAGGTCCAGTCTAAGGTTCCCCACCTATTCCTCTTTGAGCTCTTGTTCCTCTAAAACCCGCCGTGCCCTGATACTCACTTTAACCTTATTTTCTGTGTGTAAAAACCCCAATGTTCGGTGGCATTGGGCAACAGAAGATGTACTCAGAGCCTGAACCCTCAACATGGACTCTGGGATCTCCCACTGTAGCCATATGAGGGCACTTTCTTTTCTGAGCTACCATGATATTGCTCAGCTGCCCTGGGTTTAGCAATTCAGCCCTTCCAGTAGCCATGGCAACAAACACTAAACACTGCTAAGAAAGGAAGGGTGTAGGGGATGCCCCCAGGAAGTGGCGGTGCCAGTCTTGTCTTGCAGATGTGGCCCCAGTTTGCCATTACCATCACCAGGGCCAGCACCTCTGCAGCTGCTGCTGTCACTGCCAGAGAAATCACCTGGAGGCTGGGGCTGGGACGTGAGCTTTTGCCTGACCTCAAATGTGACCCGAAGAACAAGAAGTCAAGTGCCTAGCTAGGTGACTGCTTTAGATGACTGGGGACCATCACTCCTGTGCCAGAGTTAGCACTTTTTCCTTAGCCTATTAAAAACAGTTTGACTTTTCATGTGTTAACTAAAAACAACTGATAATAATGATAATGGGTTCTTTAAAGTACTAGATGTGACAGCCCACTCTGTAGTCCTAGCACTTGAAAAGCTGAGGGGGTTGGATTGTGAAGTTCACTATGTGGCATACATAGTGAAATTCTTTCTCAAATATAATAATAATGATAATAATAATAGTACCAACAAAAATACCAGCTTACTTTTGCCTTTTAGTGACACTAGCTGGTTCTGGTTACCATTCTAATCAGACAGAGCCAGAACAAACTACTTAACATAAGGTGTTCAGTGTGGTGTTAGGAAGTTTAAAGATGATCCTGGCTAACTCAACACATCAGTACCATAGGTGTATGTGTGCAAACAGAACCCCATCAATACTGTAGGTAGGGAGAGAAAAGGAGCCTATGGGTACCACCATAGACCAGTGAGCACACACTGACCCCATCACCTCTGCAGCTACAAATGAGAGAGATGGGGCATAGGTGTGTAGGCCCAATAACAGTCTGCTCCCAGTCCCTCTCCAGCCAGAGATAAACAGTGTTGGGTTAGGGGTGATTCTCCCACTGCAGAGTTTCTGGGAGCATACGGAAAGGGTCCCTGTGCCCAGCAGAAGGTGGGCTTACTAAATTCTTTCAAGGGATCTCTCTGCCTGACCCAGAATTCACAGTTAAGTACTCAGGATGAAGTTCATTGTCAGTGTGGCGACTTTCCGGATTCTGCCATCTGTTGTCCGGCGTCAGAGCATTTTGCTGTTCAGAAACACTCTCCAGGGCATGCAGCAGGAAAGACCTCAGATCCACCTGTCTAGCTGCTCCCAGATTTTGCTAAGACACGCATGGCTCCTTCATAGGCAAGGCTATATCTGGAGATGCCAGTGATAGGAGCCCAGATCCTCAGCCCAGAGCACTTTCTGAATCCCTTCTCCAGTCCAACAACCCCTCAGTGGGCTCCTTCTCCCTGAAGTCCAAAGAATCAGGCCTAAGGGGTAGTTGAGAAGGACGGACTCCACAGAGCAGTTCTACAAATCTCTAGTCATTCTGAAATGCCCCACTAACCAGCACCAGGCAGGCAGGACAGCTGAAGGTGCTTTTGAAAACAGTTTTAAGCTCTAACCCCAAAATTCTGTCTGTCTAGGCCAGGCTCCAGGAATCCCTGATTTTAAGGAAGGTAGTTCTGATGTATGCCAGGTCTGGGAACAAGCCCTATGACCTGACTATGACCGCCCCCACAATCCATCTATCATCTATCTTTGAGAAGCAATCTCACTACATTGCCCAGGATGTTCTTGAACTTCTGGACTCAAGCAATTCTCCAGCCATGGTCCCCTACTGCTAAGACTACAAGTGCGTATCTCTCCTCCTAGGTTCTTTTCCTCCTTCTTACTACATGTCAGATTGGTTGGGGCTAAGAGTCCCTCAAAACCCACTTCCTTCCTGCCCTGCAGAAGGACACCTGCCAAGGAAGCCTCCAGAATGGGTGGCTGACCCTACTTTAAGAGAATAAAATCAAGGCAGAAAGATGTGGCTTACCACAATTTTACAAAGATTTCTCCTTTAGATGGAACTACATTGCACAGATGACAGGGAACAAGTACCTTGAACCTGGTGAGGAATGGGCTGGGATCTGTGGGCTTCCCATGACCATTGCTGGGTGAGCCCTCCAGCCCAGTGATGTCTCTGAGCTCCACGCTGGCTGCTGTGTCCCACAGGAATCCAGAATAGCACGGTCCCTATAGTAGATGGAGATAGGGGCTTGGTGTCAGGTTCCTATATCCATAAGGTACAGCCCAGCACAGGGAAGGGGAGAGAGGCCAGACAGAGCAACAGCAGGCTGTGCTTCGGAATTCCCAAGATTACTCACACAGGGGTGTTTCTAGAATGGAAAACATACTTCCGAAGCCACAGCACACTCCACACCATGGCCTATTTCAGAGTTGTTTGCATGGCCGGGGTTGCATGGCTCTTCCCTTTCGGGGAGGAGGTAGGAGAAGCACAGACCAGGCCCAGAGTTACTTTGTGAGTCATCACACACCATGAAACAGTAGCTAACACCTCCATTTTCCAGATGAGGCTACTGTTACTCAGAAAAGCTAAGTAACTTCCCTAAAACCCCATCGCTATAGATGTCAATACTGAGGCTCAAAGATAAGACTCTGAGGGATGGTTTTGTTTGTTGATTAGTTGCTGCTCTCACAAATGATGCCCACCACCTCCCTGCACGTCTTCCTTCTCCCCGTGGTTCTGATCCTCTCCCAGGCACCCTTCCCAAACTTGACTCAGGTGGCCAGGACAGTCACAGCCAAGGAGGAACACTTTCTAGCCCAAGATAGCTCACTGGGCTCAGGGGAGAGTGCCACACCCTACAACAGAGGGCTGCTTTGGAGAAAATGATTTCTTCTTAGGTGTCAGTTTTTTCACTTGTAAACTTTGCCTCCAGTAGGTTCCTGGACACGACTCTGATCCTCAGAGACCTGGCAGCTGCTTAATATTGAGACTGAAGGTTTGTGCCCATGGATACATGATATTTGACTCACATTGTGTTTTAAGACAAATTTTTGAATCTATCCATCTCTAAAATTTAAGAAATTTCACATGTACGTTAATCTGGGTGACTCAGCCCCACTGAGCCCATAATACTCCATGATAACAGACAGTCAGGCCTAGCCATAGCAGCAGTCTGATACAGGCAAGGATCCCAGTCCAAAGTCACCATCCTCTAAGGCACATCCTATCCACCAAGCCCTGGCCTGCACTCTCACTGAAGTTCCCCATTATTTTATTTATTTATTTATTTATTTATTTATTTATTTATTTATTTATTTATTTATATTTTATGTGTATGTGTGTATTGCCTGCATATAGGTAAGTGCACCCATGTCGTGCAATGCCCACGAAGGTCAGAAGAGGCTGTCGGACCCCCTGGGACTGGAGTTAGGGACAGCTGTTAGCTGCCATGTGGGTGATGGGATTCGAACCCAGGTCTTCTGCAAGAGTAGTCAGTTTTCTTAACCACTGAGCTATCTCCCCAGCCCCCCCCAACTATTTATTTTATATTCTGGGGCTATCCTGTGAGTTGAGGAAGGGGCTACTGCTCCCATGGTAGAGATGAAGTAACTGAGGCCAAGAGTAGTCAGTGGCTGGAACTCAGCTGTCTCCACTGTACTCTAATGACCTTGGCTCTGACACCTAAAGTAGTATGACTTGCCTTGTCCCTCCAAATGGCTGAAAGCTTTGTGAAAGAGGGCAGGTCCTGTGAAGAGTAGCCACAGATAGGTCTGGGATGCTGGTCTGTTTTCTCATACATGCACCAATAACCTCTTATGAGTGATTTGTTAAATGAATGAAGTTGAAGGGACTCTAATAGCTACATAAAATTCACACATCGACATCAGGCAAAGGCCTTTGAAAAAAAGCACAGCGTCATTATTATTTGTGTGGACTAAGAGGGAGAGCCCTGAGCTAAATATTGGAAGACTAGATGCATTCCCTGTGAGTTCCTTTCAGCCCACTGTGAACACATGCTCACTCACTGTCAGCAGGTCTTTTTTCATTCCAAAATAGCAAAACCAGAGAAAGGAGATTTATATAGATTCCAGTGGTCACTGAAAAGAGAAGGCGCTTACTACCAATAAAAATAAAATGGGCTTATTGTTGGTAATAATAACTCTATAGATGCTTTTAATTCAGCCTACATTTATGACTTAAGAGCTTAAATCACAAGTATCAATCATAAATGCAATTCACATGTTTGCAAGTATATTAGACATTAGAGTTCAAAAAAAATAACTTCATTTACTGTGAAATTATGCAAAGACACATTTTTTAACTGAAGTAATTATAAGTACTAGTCTTTAAAATCCAAGATCCTAGGCTGAGGACATGGTTCAGGCAGTAAAGTCCCTGCCATACAAGTATAAAGCCCTGGTTCAGATCCCAGAACCCATGTAAAAAGATGGGCAGAGTAGGATGTGCCTGTAACCCCAGTACTGGGGGAGGGGAAAGGACAGGTAGATCCCTGAAGCTCATTGGTCACCCATATAGCTGAATCCTTCAGCTTCAGGTTCACTGAGAGACCTTATCTCAAAAAATAAAGGTGGAGAGCAATCAAGGAAAGGCATCCAGCCATAACCTCACACGTGTGCCCATGCGCGTGCATGCTCTCTCTCTCTCTCTCTCTCTCTCTCTCTCTCTCTCTCTCTCTCTCTCTCTCTCTCAACACATACACACACACGCATGCCTGCACATGACATATATCCCAAAATCTGTTAAGACCTGATGATATTAAGCATGCCAAGGTGAAAAGGTTTGGGCTTGAATATGGTATGTAAAAGTGAAAATGCTTATATGTGGAGATTCATCTATGCTTATAAGGATGACAAGGATGAAAAAAAGCAGTATCTGCTGAAAATCTGAATGGAGTATTTCTATGTGCATAAGTTCAAGTACAGAAAGCAAATGTGTGAACCATGGATAATGTGAAGTTGTCAGCAAATGACAGACTCTCTGTAGTCTTGGTAGAGGACAGCTGTGGCCAAGGGATTCCAAGGACGAAGAACAGAAATACACAAAACTTCCTTGGCCCTGGACAGGATTCTTCCTCCCAAGATGCTAAACTCCCATTTCAATCTGGGCAGTAATCCATCCCCAATCTAAACATGAAATGACACCCAAAGCCTTAGAAATGAATGGTAATAATTTAAAAAAATAGGACAGATATGCAAAACTGGTCCAAGGGTATTGACAAAGGAAAGTTTAAAATGCCTTAATTTGGGGAAAAGTTACATGTAAATACAACAAAATTGCAAGCCAGCTGAGCTGAGGAAGGTACCTTCTGGAGCTGACTTGAGGGCTTCTCTGAGACAATGGACCTCCAGCATCCTCGGGGCCCTTTCCACTTGCGAATGTTGGGCAGGATCGGCTGGTTTAGCTCTGTACAGAACTGCAAAGACAGAATACAGATGAGTGCATCTGTGTCCCCACAGGTGGCATACTCAGAAAGTGCACAGGGAGATAATGCGGAGTCATCACACAGTACTCGGGATACATAAGGCTTGCTGAGTGTCATCCCTGTGTTCTCAAAAACCAGGGGTTACAATGTGATTTGTCCCCTATAAAATAAATAGATTAAAACTTAAGGAAACAAAAGAGTGCTTATAAATACCTACACAACTAACACCACAAACTAGAAGGCAAGTATCTAGAGGGGTAACTGGCAAATTACCCCTCAAGGACCCTCTGTCCACAGAAATGGAATCTCTGTAACATCTGGCTCAAGCAGTTCAGAAAAAAAAAAAAAAAATGAAAGAATCCTCTACACACTTGTAATAAGTAGATTCAAGGTCTCAGGTGCACCTGGATCAGTGGCAAACACAAACGAGTATCTTTTCTCCTCAAGGCTTAGATTAGAGGGCACAAAATGATCCTCAGTTTAATTTGGAACCACATCATTTCCCTTGGTTTTCCTCTGTCCTGGATGGTTACTATACCATCCTGGGTACATGAATGCAGTGTGCATCACTGTTTCTGTTTCGTTGAGTTGGTTTTTTGTTTGTTTGTTTGTTTGTTTGTTTGTTTATTTGTTTTGGGTTTTTATGTTGATTTTTTTTTACAGAATCTCATTTCATGGCCCAGTCTGGCTTCACACTCAACAATCCCCCAGCCTCAGTTTCCTGAGTGCTGGAATTACAGGTGTGCACTACCACACCTGGCTCAGGAATGCTTTTTGATGTGTGTTCCTTGGCAATATCAGAGAACACAGAACAGTTTATCATCAAGGCAAAATAAATTACATAGATAAAATCAGATGAAGAGCTGAAAAACCACTGACATCATGGTACAAAGGCCAGGTGCTCTAACACTTTCTCTTGGGGTTGGTTCTTTCAAGGACTCCCTAAGATTTGTCAGATTTGTGATGTTTTCAAGAGACTCCACCATCTAGCCCAGGCCCTGATGGATTTACAGTAGAATTCTACCAGACATTTAAAGAAGATCTGCATCCAATGCTACTTAATTTATTCAAAAAGATAGAAATGGAGGGAGAACTTCCAAATTCCTTCTATGAAGCCAGCATCACTCTAATACCCAAACTGTGTAAAGACACAACCAAAAAGAAAACTATAGACCCATATCCTTAGTGAACATAGATGCAAAAATATTTGCAAACCGTATACAGACACACATCTAAAAGGTCATTCACCATGATCAAGTCGGCTTTATCCCAGAGATGCAGGGCTGGTTCAATATATGCAAGTCAATAAACATCATTAATCATATAAATAGACTCCAAGACAAAAACTACATTGTCATCTCAATAGATGCAGAAAAGGCTTCCGACAAAATTCAGCATGCATTTATGTTTCAAAGTCATAGAGGGAATTGGACTGGAGGGAACATACCTCAACATAATTAAAGCTGTATATAACAAACCCACAGCTAATATCATTCTAAATGGAGAAAAACTGAAACCATTCCCATTAAAATAAGGAACCAGACAAGGGTGTCCACTATTTCCACTCCTTTTCAACATAGTGCTCTAAGAGATACCAAAAGTTCCACCAGAAAACTCCCAGAACTGATCAACACTTTCGGTATAGTGGCAGGTTATAAAATCAATCTACAAAAATCAGTAGCCTTTCTATACACCAATAACAAGCAATTGGAGAAAGAATACAGGGAAATGCTCCCATTCACAATTGCTGCATATATATGTATCTGCCTCTTGGAATACATCTGACCAAAAACATCAAATATCTCTACAATGAAAATTTTAAATCGTCAAAGAAAGAGACTGAGGAAAATACCAGGAGATGGAAGGACCTCCCATGCTCATGGATTGAAAGAATTAATATTGTGAAAATGACCCTCCTACCAAAAGCAATACATAGATTCAATGCAACCCCAATCAAAATCCCCATGACATACTTCACAGAATTAGAAAAAAAAAATCCTTAAATTCATATGGAAACACAAAAGACACAGATAGCCAAAACAACCCTGAGCACAAAGAACAACTCTGGAGGAATTACTATACCAGATCTCAAAGTATTCTACAGAGCTATAGTCATAAAAACAGCATGGTACTGGCAAAAAATAGACACATAGATCAATGGAACATCATTGAAGATCCAAACCTGAGGACACGCAATTTCAGCCACCTGATATTTGACAAAGTGCCAAGAACACACAATGGAGAAAAGACAGCATCTTCAACAAATGGTGCTGGTAAAACTGGATCTTCACATGTAGAAGAATGAAACTAGATCCTTATCTTTCACCTTGCACAAAGTCAACTCCAAATGGATCAAAGACCTCAATGTGAAACTGAAAACCCTGAAACTATTAGAAGAAAATATTGGTAGATATTACAGATATTACAAGATATAGGTGTAGGAAAGGCACTTCTAAATAGGACAGAAGTTGCTCAGGAATTAAGGTCAGCACTCAACAAGTGGGACCTCATTAAACTAAAAAGCTTCTATACAGCAAAAGAAAAAAATCAAAAAAGTGAAGAGAAAACCCACAGAATGGGAAAAAATCTTCACCAGTGACACATCTGACAGAGGCTTAACATTCAGAATATAAAGAACTTCAAAAACAAAGAAGCAAGAAACCAAATGACCCAATGAAAAGATGGGCTAAAGATCTAAACAGAGAGTTCTCAAAGGAAGAAAGAAAGATGACTAAGAAACATCTCAAAAAGTGTTCAGCATCCTTAGTAATTGGGGAAATGCAAATTAAAACCACCCTAAGGTATCACTTTACCCCAATCAGACTGGCTAGGATCAAGAGAACAAATGATACCAAATGCTAGCGAGGATGTGGAGAAGGGAATGCTCATTCACTGCTAGCGGGATTGTAAACTCATGCAATCCCTATGGTAAACAGTGTAGAGAATTCTTAAAAAACTACAAATGAACCTACCACATGACCCGGTTATACCACTCCTTGGCATATACCCAAAGGACTCATCCTATTGTAGAGACGCTTGTACAACCATGTTTGTTGCTGCTCTTTTCACAATAGCTAAGAGATGGAAGCAACCTAAGTGCCCCTCAACAGATGAAT